AACGCATGGCAGGTGTGGCCCTATCTAGGACCGGAGCTTACACTCTGGAGGGAACTCCTTAGGGAGACTGGAACGATCCATTACAATGAGATAAATTCTTATGAGAATTTTTCTTAGCACTGGCAAAATAAATTAGACAATAACCTCACAATGTTACTGATTTATCTTGATTTTTACATGGCCGTCATTTGAAGCAGAAAGTTCAGGAGCTTATTATATAGAACTAAATAGAATCTGAACCTCATTCATTATTAGGCCTGTGTGCACTGTTTACTGTAAGGAACAAGGAAAAAACCTACACTTAGAATATTACAGTATTAGTGATGGTGAGCAGATCTTGATTTCAGAAGTTGTTAAATGGGGAAAGAGACTTTTGCACTTTGAATTGATGAAATATGGTTATGTTAATGAGTGTATGTTATGGCTGAGGATTTGATGTGGATGTTCATTTTTCATTCATTTAGACTCTAGAGCAGACACATGAAGAAAAGACTCTTTTCTACATTTTCTAGATAGAAGGATAACAAACAGATAATTTGCTCTGCCAAATGATCCAAAACTAGTAAACAGCAGTCCTGAAATTTAAGTCCAGGTTTGTCTGACCCCAAAGCTTCTTATGCTATGTCGTGTTTTTTTTTTTTTTTTTTTTTTTTGTCTTTTTCCTTTTTACCGGTATTGGGGATCGAACTCACGACTGCCTGCTTGCCAGGCAGGCACTTATGCTGCCGAGCTAAATCCCCATCCCCTGCTATGTCATGTTTTATTGTGCATTTCAGGAAGCTTAACTCTCTCTTTGTATTTTAAGACTGGAAACCTGCTGGCTGGTAATGTCCTGTGTATATCCTCGTGAGACTTTTTCCCATTTTAAATTATGAGTTACAGTTTACCTCTCACAGGAAAATGGCCCAGAGCTGAACCTGACCCAGGAGACAATGGTGTTCAAGCAGAGCCCTCCTGACTTAGACTGTGTACAACACCCTTCCTGGAGAAGAAGGCCCTGCCCCAAGGTCAGCAGGAGCTCAGGGGGCGCTGCCAACCCGGAGGCCTTTGGCTGCATCTGCAGCCCTTTTATTTATTTTTAGTGTCTAAATTCCTAGATTGCCTGTGTTCGAATTAAACTCCTATTGCCTCAGCCTCCCAGAATTCAGGGATTACCGGTATGGGCTACTATGGCCAGCCAGGGCAGTGATTTTTTCATGATACTATGACCCTTCTAATTTTGGTCAGAATGTCAGTAAGTATGAAAGCAGCAAAGACCATAGCACACACCTTGGGGTCAGTAGATAGGAGGAACCATGTTCTATCATGTTTGTTTTAAGGACAGTCAAAGTCCCCTTTGTGTCCTTTTCTGATCACCATCTGTTTCTTTCTTCCCTGTGGTCACTGCCACCATGAATCTTCGAGTCAATGTTTTTTGCTTTCCTTCCATGCGATATCACAGTAGTGTCTTTTCAAGATATTCACTTGTTGCATAACCTCCTTTGTTTTTTAGTTAGTTATACGTTCTTAAGATGTCGCTACGTTGGTTTATAGGAATCTAGTTCATTCATTTCAATTTAGGTTTAGTGCTCCCTAGTGTGAAGATGCTATAACATCTATTCGTTCCCTGTTTTTATCTCTCCTTAGAATGTTTAATAAGCCTTCTCATACATATCTCCTTGTGACATGAGGGGCATTTTCTCCAGGGGTACACATCTAGAAATAGTATAGCTGAATCATAGGCCATGCACATTTTCAGTCTTCTAAGTGTTCTTCTGTATTTAAACCAATTTGTACCCCTACCAACCATGCCCAAGAATTCTCAGTTCCCCTATATCCTTGACAGTATTTGATATTGTGAGACTTTTTGAATGTTGCTAGTCAGATGGCTACAAATGATGATGTGTTGTGTTAACTTACCATTGATAATTTTGCTTTCAATGTTTGTCAGAGTCATCAGAGAACTGACTGTGTCCACAAGATTACAGGCTTCAGCCTCCTGACTTGCATCTGCCACCTGCCATCCACCCTCTACCTTCACCTCAATGTCCCAGGCATTTAGGGGTGGCAGGCAGGCCCGGGTGTGGCCAGAAATGTGTAGGAGGTGTGTCATGTTGTGCTGGTGGCCACCTGTGTGCCCACATCCTGTTTCTCTGCAGGACTGTAAGGCCATAACAAATATTGACCCCAGTCTTCTTAAGTGTAGGCTTCCCTCTGTTTATTGACTGGGCACCTTTAAAACCACTTTTCTGGATGAACAGAAAAACACTTCCTGCCAAAAGCCCTTGGTAAAAACACCCTGTTTCCAGAGAAGCCACACCTCACTCTTAGGAATGATGCCAAGTACACACAGTGGTAATCGCTTGGGAATCAAGATTCTCCCCGGCTGCTCTCCCTGAGCTCTTCCAGCGAGGAGCTGTATGGGCTGAGTGACCTGGGATTCAGGGTACATAGCCAGTCTCAGCTCCACTTCTTAACAAATAGTTGATCTTGGGAGGGTTGTCTCTAAGCTGCGTTCATCTCATCTGTGAAAGGCAGTCAACACCCACTCTATGGGATTGCCAGGATTAGGCAGACACACAGTATAAGCTCATTAAGAGTCAGTTATCTGTGGTGATAACCCCCTAAGTGAAGCAGAGGATCCCAGGTCATAGTCAGTAACACAAGTACCACAAGAACTGCATTGGTTTCCAATTTGTCCACTAGGTAAGTATTGTTCCATTTGCTTTTTTATCTCAGAGATTGCAAACTGGTAGCCCATGGAATGTGTTTTATTTGGCTTGTAAAATATTTTTTATTTTAATTTGAGTCAACTCTTAAAATAGAACTCTCAAATAGCTTAGTTTTTGCTTTTGTTCAAAAACTGAAGCTTCAGCTATACTGGACCAGATGGCTCTGTATTTCTCATACGCCCTGGCGAGTCCTCTCTGGGCTCCTGTTTGTCCCAGGCCTGTGCCCACATACTGTGTCTGTTAACCTCCTCTGCCCTCCCCGAGTCTGTAACTGCAATTCCTGCTTTTGTGGTTGCCATTGCTCATGATAATTAAGCTGAGCTATCATCCTCCGAGCAGGCCTTTATAATCTATGTCTACAGTTTATAAGGACAAAAACCGGGAAGAGGGAAGAAAACTAGTATTTGGAGCTGGCTAGCTCTGTACTAGACAATTGTGCTCTGCACGTTGTACCCCCTGTATTATGTCATCCTCACAATAGCAGTGAAGGAAGTACTGTTAGCCTCACATTACCAGTGGCATAATTAGCTTGGTGAGTTGAGTAATTTGCTCCGTGACACACACTTCCGAAGCGGGAGTGCCAGTATTTGTGAACAGCCATTTAGAACACCTAATCCATTTTCTACTTCCTATGCTGTGTCAATGGATAGACAATTAGCTTATCAGAGATGTTGAGGACCTCACAGCTAAGGCACTATCTAAAAGTTCTGGTAGGTGTGACAGGTTTGTTTGCAGGTCTCCTGGGGAGAAGAGGGTGCACACATGTGAGCCACAGGCCCCTGCTTACTATTCCCTGGTTGGAATCACCTTCTTTAGTGGTCATTTCTTGGCCCATTTTGGCGTTTATTCCCCAAAGAAGAGACAATCATTGCCAAGGAAGATGTGCAACTAACTCTTCATGGGTAGCTTTAGATTGGCTACACGCCAGCATGCAACAAGACACGATTTTGAGCTGAAAGAGCCAGACCTCCTGGTTACTTTATCTGACTAAGACTTCTCTTTACAATTTTGGAAAAATCCAGAGAAAATGTCAATCAGAGAGTTTGAACAGGTGGGAACAGGATGTGTTTTATCCTAAACGTAATTACATGGCTATTAGAGTACAGGGTAATGAGGTAGGTGAAGTCCCACAAGAAAAATACCTTTGATAGGTTGAAGAATGTTTCTCTTACCTGAATAAATATTTTGAAGCAATTACCTGGGTGAAAACCAACTTCCTATAGAAGGGTTGATTAAAAAAAAAACAAAACAAGGCAAAGCAGAAGACTTCTGTGGGCTGAGTACATTGTACTGTGTAATTATTTCTCAGCTAATGATACCAGCTCAACCTGGTACAAAGAGAGGGTTCAGAAACAATTCTCCTTGGCCAAGAGTACTCCAAAGTGTGGCTAGTGTTCCACAACTTCAAAGGTGAGAATCATTTGTTTTTTCTACCATTCAAACAGAACTCGCAACCATGAAAATCTTCTCCCTCCTCCGCTTCCTCCTCCTTAACCTCTCTTCCTCCTCTTCTTCTTCCAGAAAAAGAGTACCATTTAATTTAACACTCAACAATTGTGTAGTAAGTCCTATGTCCTGGGGCTGAGAATTTAACTGCCTTTGAGTCTTTGTTGCCATATATATATGATAATATGTTAAATTTTTTCTTGGTATTCTGAAATCAAGTGAAATTATGTTCAATTCAGGCAAGAAATACTTAATGAGTGTCAAACCACAATGACAGATGCTGGGAATAAAAGGTCAAAGGGTCTCAGTTTCCATTGTCCTGTGCTGGAATTATGGGGGTGAGAGGTGGCACTGTACTGCATCTCCAGAAAGGAGATAAGAAAGGAGTGTGGGCAGAGGGTCCAGTGCATGCACAGAAACAGCACAGGGAGCACCAGCCAGCCTGTGTGTAACTACAGGGAAGGGAGACAGGCTGGCAGCAGGCGGAGGAAACCAGGGAGGCTGGTGAGCAGGGCAGGCCAGGGGGGCGAGGCAGGGCAGGGCAGGGCAGGGCAGGGCAGGGCAAGCCTGCCTGGCTGCAGGTGAGGTTCTTGGCTTCCTACAAGTTGAAGGAGGGCTGCCACGGAAGGCAGGGCTATTGCCAAAGGTTAGCCTGCAGAAGCAGGCGATTGAAGACACTGCACACAGTTTGGCCATCACCAGGTAATTTGGACCCAGTCAGCCGCTAGTCAGTTGTGTAAAGCAGTTGTGTTCCTCCGAACCTTTATCACGCAAGTCTGCCCTTGTGTGTAATCCTGTACCTTCAGCGATTTCAAACCACCCCTCTCCCCATTTTTCTTTCAGTGACATCTGACCTGGCCTTGGCGCATCCTCAGCCAGGATTTCTGAACATGCAGGAGGTATTTGAAGTGTGGTGTGTCGCTGTGTCTCTCTAACTCTGCCCCCACAAGGATTCAGGCCCAGGCTAAGGCACGCCTGATTTGCCGAGCATCCCAGACTTGGCTGGTCTTTCCCTGCAATTCTGTGTGTGCTTCTGGTCTAGGTTTACTACTTCGACTTTGTCTCTTCAGCAGGGTCTTTGGACGCTTTTGGTCTCATGTGGGATCACAAGCCAATTTCCCTGACATTCAAGTGGAGCTGCCCACCGGTTCCCATTGCTTCCCCTTCTCCTTCCAGGAAGATGAAGAATCACTTCAGTGCTGTCCCTCACCTCAACTGTTATTTAGTCTGCTTCAGAAGAACATGTCCTCTGCCTGGGAACCACAATCTATGAAACTCTTACAGCTGATGAACAAATCCATCGCATCTGCTAGCATGGCGCATGCCTGTAGTCCCAGCACTTGAGAGGCTGAGGCAGGAGGATTCCCTTCAGTTTGGAGCCAGCCTGAGCTACATAGTGAGTTCAAGGACGGCCTGAACTACATAATGAGAACTTTTCTCAAAAAAAAATTCATTGTGCTTGTCTTCCAAAAAGAATTTTTAAAATACGAGTTTAACTGTAGCTTTTACTTATTAGCTGGAAAAATACTATAGGTGGCTGAATTTAATTATTACTGTTCATCCAAAAGACAAAAGTCATCTTTTGATGAGATGCAATGTTTGAATAAACAATAGAGGACTAAAGTAACAATATGCAATATTACAACCCTTGTTAAGTTCCTATCATCTTGTTTTGAAAACCTATGCTGTTATTGTTTGCGGTTTGTTGTTGTTCATCCCTTTTGCCTTTTGTTTTTCTTTTCTGTGCCTTTTTTCTCTTAAATAAATAAAAATAATAAAAGTTTTAAAAGAATAGAGGACTAAATAATGAGTAATTATATAATTATTACATATTCAGTTTTCCTGTCTTATTTCAGCTCATTAACTAATTATGTTATTATAATTATTGTTTTCACATGATTTGTATCTATGATATACTTGATAATGGCATAAAAGATGCCATTAAAAATGTGTTGTCAGAGTGCTCATGAATTTCTTTACTATGATGATATTTGTTTAAGCATATTTATGGCCTGTAAATTCCTCTAAAGCATAAGGTAGATAAAATATAAGACTTGCAGTTAAACTTGAATTACATATAGCCAATAAATAATTTTTAGTATACAGTATCTCAAACATTGCACGAGATACATTTATATTAAAAAACTGCTCCTTATATTTACTCCAAATTCATAATGAACTAAGCCTGCCATAATTTTATTTACTAAATCTGGCAAAGTTTGGGATCCAAAGAGCATATCTTGTTTTTGGTCCAGGATTAAAGACAGCATTAAACTTCGAAGGCATTAAATAGAACACTAACAAGAAAAAAGCAGGTCCTTGAATTCTGAAAGCCTTCACCAACACTCCTACCAAAAGAGAGTTGACTATTTTTCTATCTTTCACCAGCAGTAAGCTAAGCTTGGGAGATTAATGTCTTAGCAGAAATATGTATGAAACTAGGAAACACGTGCTTCTCTCCCAGATATTCCTTTGTTTATAATGCTATGGAGTGTCATATGCTCATTCTTTCATATTGTTTGAATAATCACCAACTCTTCAGCTTAATGTATTGATCCATATACGTTTTGTTAAACCTTGGCTATACCTGTCACAATGTATTTGATAAACATAACAACTCTCTGGGGTAGATTTATTATCTCTATTTAGAGATATACAACTTAAACTCAGCAAGGCTAAATAACTTTCCTCAAATCACTCACTTGATAAATGATGGAGGCATAATTTCAATTTATATTGTTCCAATTTTAAAGTTTTGGTGGAAAAGCAAGCAGGGTCACGGAAGGGAAAGGAGACCTAATGTTTCTTTAGTGCCCTGCTTAGGGCTGAGGCTCAATTTTGCATAGTTCCAACTGCTGGCAACCTTTCAGATTGAATTCTGACCTCTCAGGGAACAAAAAGTGCCATAGATAAAAAGCCAAATTGTTTCCATAAGAAAGAAACACTAGTGCTCAAAATAAGAAGAAAAAGAGGTGTGTATGTGTAAATTTTCTTAAATGAAAATGCAAAGGACTTAAAATCACTGAAATAATTTTAAAAAGAATACCACAGTTGGAGGACTGAGGCCCTCTGATTTCAAACCTTGTAAAGCTACAGTGATTAAGTACATGTGGTGTTTATAGAAAGAGAGATGTACAGGCCAATGGTAGAGACTAGGGACCAGAAATAAAGCCTCACATTTGCAACTGATTAATTGTTGAAAAAGGTACAATGGACGAAAATGGCACTAGGACAATAGAAAACACAGCTGGTGCACAAAAAACACCAACAAACATGATGTACTTAATGAAAAGTTTTTGCCCTAGTGTAAGTTACTGTATGGTGGTGGTCTAATGTCACCAATGTAAGTATAAAATAGTGCCCTCTATAAATAGGGTATTTTCTGTAAAATTAAATACAATAAAAACAAAATAATATGATGGGAAAAATAAGGAAAGACATTGAAATGGGCAAAAAGATGAATGGTTGTCTGGTCTGTTGCACCTCTTTGGATTATTAATGCTCTTCATTGTCTTTGAGCTACTCATAGTACTGTTAATTGTAGAAACTTGTTATTAAAAATACTTATACAGTATGCATAATTCATATTATTGATAGAACTGATGAATTTTAACTGATTGAATGGAATTAATTATTGTACTGTAGATATTGACCAGTTTCGGTCTATTTGTAAGCTGAATTTAACATTTCTTATCTGCGTCTGTATCTGCTTTTTGAGTTTTCCTTTGAATTAGTTGATATCTTACTGGCTCACTGTATTAGTCAGCTTTGCCTTGCTGTGACAAACGCCTGAAATAAATTAATTTGAGAAGGAGAAAAGTTTCAGTCCACGTTTGGTTGGTCCTGTTTCTTTGGGGTGTCTGGGGGGGCAGAACATCATGGTAGGAGTGAAGGGTAGACGAAGTTATTGAATTCATGGCACCTGGGAAGCAAAGAGAGAGAGAGGAAGAGGTGGAGTCCAGTGTCCGCGTCCCAGCAACCCCTCCAGTGGCCTAACTTCCTCCCACTAGGCCCCACCTTGTCAGGATGCCACTGCTGCCCCCACTGTGTCACAGGCTGGTGACACACCCCTTAATGCAGGGTCCTTTGGGGGACAATTATCTAAACTACAATATTCACTCGCTAATAAGTAAAACACATGTTCATTAAAAGAAACCAACCCCGTCCACTTCATTTTATAACTGTATGCATTTTTATGTTTTAAAAATTATTCTTCGACGAATACAACTTCCAGTTCTAGCTAGATCCTGAAGCTTTTTAACAGTTTTAAGCCTGAAGCTAGAGAGTCTGTAGCAACTTCCCAAGCTAGGTGTTTGATAAAAACTGGGATGAACACATTTACACAGGTGTTTCTTCATTTGGCAGTGAGTCGTTTCTGAGTACCTGATTTATGCCCTACTTTGTTTTTAAAAGCTGGGAATTTTTTGGTAGTGAGGAAAATATCAAAAATTCTTGCCCTTAGTGAACTTAAATTCTTGTGAGTACAGACAGATATTAAAAAAATAAACTTCAAAAATTGTATACATACTACATTAACTGATGATAAGTGAAGAAAAATAAACCAGGGAAGAGGCTAGGATGGGTTTTAATTTTCTGCAGCTGCTGTGAAGAGGGCACTCCGGGGAGGTGCCACGTCAAAGAGCCTTGAAGGACTTAGGGGCGTGAGCCACAGGATTTCCTGGGAAAATCATTGCAGGCAGCCAGAACCCACAGTGCAAAGGTCCTGGCGTAGGAATGAGCCTGTGGGTTCAAGGAACAGTCAGGAGGTTAAAGTGGCTTTAGTAGAGTGTTCAAGGCAAGGAAATGGGAGCAGAACTGTAACTGGAAGTCAAATAGTGTGACAGGGCCCTGAAGGTCATGGAAAGGAATCGGGCAGCTATTCCAGGAGAGATGAGAGTATGTATTAGTCTCGCTTACAGGGCTCCAGAGAAATAGCTCTTACAGTTTTGGATGTCAAGAGGACCCACGATCTGTTTACAAGCTGGAGAGCAAGGAAGGCCAGGGTTGTAATTCAGGCTGAGAATTCAGGGCTCTGATACTATAAATCTTAACCAAGCTAGAAGCCCAGGGGACTGACGGGTACAGGCTGCCAGGGTGAGTCCTGCAGCCTACGGCCTCAGGAATCAAGAGCACAGTGTCCAAGGGCTGGAGAGGATGGGTGTCCCAGTTCAAGAAGAAGGTGAATTTGCCCCTGTTCTTCCTTTTTGTTCTATTGGGGTCGTTCACAGACTGAACGATGCTCAGCATTTGGTGAGGGAAATCTTCTTTACCAACTAACAAGTCAAAATACTGATCTCTTGCAGAATCCTCATAGACACACCCAGAAATGATACGTCACCAGCCACCTGGGCATCCCTTTGCCCATAAAACTATCATAGGGCATCACACTAAAATTTCCCTCTTGATGGAATCAGAAGTTTTGAAAGAAAATGTGTAATAGAATATTGCTTTTCAATCAATTTTCGGACCTTGTTTAGCTCTCTTGGAGAACTCCCAGAGCCCTATTTCCGTGTACACAGTGCTCAGCCACTCTGAGAAACATGTGTTCCAGGGAATCAGTCCAGGCTTCCTGCTTTGACCTTGACTGCCCTTCAGTCTCACAGCTTAAACACTGAGGAGTCCTCCCGTTGTATTGGCACACGCTTCAGCCCCACCAGACTGCTCAGTGTTCCCCGCGCTTTCTGATTGCACTTAGACACCCACTCCCATGCTGAATGCTCCTTTGATCTCACAAGTTCCCCTCCCTTACTGTCAAAGCACATAGCATATACCCATATTAGGGAACAGCACATAGTAAACACTTCCTGAACCTGACCTTCATGTGATGACTTACAATTGCATTTTAATGTTAACTCACACTTGTGCAACCATCAGATGTGAACTCTGTAAAGCATTACACTGTCCATGAACTTTTCCTGCTCATATGATTTTCTCTAACATTTATTAACTCAAATAAGTCTCTGCTCCCTGGAAAGGGAGTTGCACATACTGGTAGATGGTGCTGGCATTACTGTAATCCTCTTCAGGAATGCTTGTTGCACTTACTGTGGTGACTTGTTTATACGCCTGTCTCCCACTCCATCCCCAACCCCATCCCCATCCTCAATGCACTATGTATATAGAGTATGCATTACAACTCATTGCCTTGGTCTCTCTCAGCCTACAATAGAATTGTGTTTGGCACATAGTAGGCATTGAATAAGTATCTGTTAAATGAATTAACATTTATTTCATGTCTCGGTTTTATTTTTTTCTGCTATGTCAGACTATCACAGATAGATCCAGAGCATAAAGCCAGCATCTATCTGGCGAGGGCTTCACACTGAATCACAACACTGGTGAAAGTCAAGCCAGAATGTGCTAGACAGAGCACTCTTGGCTGAACTCTCTTCCACTCCTTTTGTAAATAACTTGCTCCTGTGATAATGGCTTTAATCCATTTATGAGGGCAGGGCCCTCATGATCTAATCACCTCTTAAAGGCTGCACCTCCCAATGCTGTTTGTGACACTTTTTTCGTGTCAGTTCAGTGACAATAAAACTTCAGCATGAGTTTTGGAGGGGGTCAGTCAACCACAGTGCCAGAGAAAGTGTGGAGATGCAGCTCAGAGGAGGTGCGTGTTCTATATTTTTAACTTTTTCTATCTTTCTTGTAAAAAGAAGGCACAATTCTGAAGTTTTCATTTGGATTAAAATGGTCAACAGCATTTCACACAGCTTGGCTGGGTCAAATCATGAGGGACATTTTTCTCAATGTGGCTGTGTCAAATTATGTGGTTTACAATTCTTAAAAAAATTACTATAGAAGACCATTAGCTCCTCATTGTTGGAATATTTACCACAGTGTAAGTTTTGCTCATACCCTCTCTCCAGGGAGCTCAGTGCAATTACAGGCGTTACCTAATGCAATTGGAGTTGGGCCTTACAGAGGAAGCGTAATAATCTCCATTGTCTGGGAAAAATCCGAGGAGATCAGAGGTCTGCACAGGTGCACAGGGAGGTGATTAAGCTCTGATTTCCTGACTTTGGCTCTTACACCTCTCCCAGCCCTCTGCTTCTGTCCTAAAGTTTTAAATCCCCAAAATTCATGATGTCAAATTGAACATTTTTGTGGTTTTATATGTCTTTTTCATTTCATGTTTTTCTAGGAATTTGCTTTGTTGTCTTGTTATGATCTGTTTTTCCCTATAGTACAGAAAGGATAGATGATTCACACATGGGGAGAATTTCTAAACTGTTTACAAGAACAGATTATACAGTGCATGATGTAATGAACAGATACTCTCAAGAAGAGACACTAAGAAACCCAGTGCTAATTCTGTAGCATTATGATATAAAATGTAGCAATGCTATTATTCACTGTTCAGAGTGATATTAGTCTAGTCTCTTATATTCAATTTCAGTGTACGTAAAGATAAGGACAGCTACTATGAAGAGAATGAGGGACATTATGGTAGTCATTATTGACTTCCACAATGTCAGGGCCTTCATCATCCTGTAATGATTTGATTAGTTCTATAATATTCAGTATGTATTCAATGTGTGTGAAGATGGGGACAAACTATTTGGAAGAAAACTAGAGACAATAAGATAGACAGTGAAGATCTCCAGTAGATTTGCTTTGAAATTCGTGTTTCTTAAAATTGTTTCCTTATGATCCATTTTGTTCTGTTTTGTTCTGTTTACTCTTACCATTTTTAAAATAAAAAAATTGAGCCTTTGAATTGTTTTCTTTTAAGGTATGTTTTCCAATGTCTTTTTGATGTTGTGAACAGTTTTGGTTTAAAATAAATATTATGCTACCAAATTCACTAAAATAGCAAACAATATTGTTCTCAAACCAAGGTTAATCCCCATGCCAGACTACATATGCGCAGAGCATGGAATTACATGACCCCGAAGGGGTCATCCCATTCCAAGGTGTCATGATTCCAGAACATCTTCAAAGGAAGTCTTTCCTGAATTAAACAGATATGCCCACTGTACTGTCCAGTGGCTGTCTCAGGATGCTTACTCAGTGCACAAAATGCCTTTGGGTAGTCAGTCAACCATTCAGATTTCTATTATTTTGGGGGAGATGCTTCAATAGTTAAATAATAAAACTACCTTATGAAATTGCAAGTCATTTGACTTCTAAGAAACCCTTTCCTTTCACTTTCTTTACTGGTCCATTCATTTATTTCTTCACCCATTCATTAAGCATTACTGAGTACTTCCTCTGTGCTGGACACTGGGCTGAATGCTGGACATAGAATAGTACCTGGTTGCTGCCCTATGGGATTTTACCATCCTGTGGGTATGTGAATAATTTCAGTCCAAGGTAAGGAGTACAAAATCTGCATGGAATATTTTAAAATCCCTGAGGAGACATCCAGGATGGTCAGGGAGGAGGTCAAGGAAGGCTTCCTGTAAGAGATGGTGTCTCAGGTTCAGTGTTCAGGTGTGAAGTATCTATCCAGAATAAAGAGAGTGTTCTGTCTTTTTTTTTTTTTTTTATTGGTACCAGGGATCAAACTCACGACTGCATGCTTGCAAGGCAGGCACTTATACCACTGAGCTAAGTCCCAAGCCCCCAAGAGAGTGTTAACAAAACAAACCAAACCAGGAATAACATTACCGACCAGTAGCATTGAGGACCTTCTCTGAGAGGATTAGCCACGCGTTTAGATGGAGTCAAGTGGGCCCGGCAGAGTGTTCTCCACCCGTGGCCAGATGCTTGGGGACAGGTGCAGAATGGAGTAGTGGGTACAGGTGTGGATTTTTCCAGAGTTTGACTTTTCCATATGAGTAGGAGGGAGAGAATAAGGTGAGGAGGGCACATGAAGATCTTA